AAAATATTGCCAAATTGAATAGAGCATTGGTGGCTAAACTCATGGGAAGGAGGGGTGCATGTCCCTTCCTTCTTGGCGAGCTCAAATATAGGTGGTATCATTTTGGAGAATTCAATATTATTACTATAGCTTCAAACTCTTTTATATGTATTTTCCAAAGCATAGAGGATAGGGATGCAGTGCTCATGAGTGGGCCGTGGATCATAGCAGGGAACATCATTGGTATGAACAAGTGGTCTCCTACCTCTTCTCCCAATTCTCTTCATGGACTCCCATTTAGATACGTCTTCCACAGCTCCCTCTCGTGTACTGGGATAAGAACAACATTACTCGACTTGCCAATATGCTCGGAGAACCTTTGTGGATAGACTCACATACGAGTGCTTAGGAAAGATCATCCTATATATGCAAGGATTTGTGTTAGGATTGATCTCTCTCTCAAAAGCTTCAAGCTGGGGTTTGGATCAATGGGCTCAATGGACGATTTTTTCAAATAGTCGAATATGAAGGGCTTACAAACTTTTGCTTCGACTGTGGTCTAATTAATTGGGCATGCCAATGGTGCTTTACTTTCCAAGGCTCTATCCCATGCTCCTCAATCCCCCCCAATGCAGTCGTCGCCGCCAACCAAAGTGCACGCCACAACCGAGAATGCTTCCCAAGCACCCTCCCCTCCTCTGGAGCCGAAGCATATTGTTGTTGAAGAGCCATCTCTTAATGAGAATAAAGAAGAATCCTCCCTTGGAGCTTGGAAGCTAGTCACCCAGAGAAGGGAGGGAAAATCAAGGGCTCCTAAAGATCAAGGCACTTGTCCACCAGCCGATCCCCCTATCCTTTTTGCAGCCGAGAAGTTACAACAAATGGAAGATATTTCTAATAGGATTGTGAACTTTTGCAAGGAACAAAGAAGAGTTTTCAAGTCTCGCTTGGACAAAGAGCTCCTCTGACTTGGGCCTTTATGGGCTTTGGTCACCTCCCCTAAGAGGATGAAGAAGATTTCAACAGTTTTCACAGGCTGGGATTTGGGCCCCTCAAGTGTTGAATGAGTGATCTCTTGTCATTGGTTTGTATTAGGTTTTTTTCGTAATGCAAACCAATGAAAGGGTCCTCCTCATTTGAGGGTTTTGTTTTTCTTTTGTTTCTGTTTGCGGCTTGATTTGGGGTGTTTTTCAAGAGTATATCCCTTCCCCTTTTGCCTTTGTGAAGTGGAAGTTTATCCCCCTCAAATTTGTTTCTCTCCGTGTAACTTTCTTCTCACTTCAATATAACTGTGTTTGTTGAAAAAAAAAAAAAACTGGGCGCATCTTTTAACTCCAGAATTTCTTCCACGACATAACCAGTAATTAAGAAACTGGTCACCTTGCAAACCACCATGGAGTTCCAGAATCTCTGAATTGAACCTGCATTGCTCCGTTGTTTATCGACTTGTGACATTGATGGAGGAGGAGGAGCGAATGGATTCTCCATGCCAAGCATCAAAAACATCATTTCCATGCAGTCACATCTTAGCTCTAAGGCTTCATTTGGGACGGCTTTTTTGTTTTTTATTAAAGCAGCTTTTTAATATAAAATTTAAATTTTTTCTACTAAAAAATTGCTTTAAGAAGTAGCAAAAAAGCCATCCCAAACGAAGCCTAAATTTGATATGTAAATGCAGCCATTTGCTTTGTTGATGATTTCATTTGCTGCCATTGAAGCTACGGGACGTCGATCGCCATGGAGGCATGGTAGGATCATAAGGCTCTCATACTAAATGTTGCAATTATGTATGAAAAGATATAGGATAGCGAGTCGAAATGGAAACTCAAGATGTGAATGCTAGTTGTATCTAAGAAGTCATGGTCTTGATCGGTTTAATAAATGGATTTGAGCTTGATTTGTAGGCAACTCGGATGACTTGAATATGACACCCAGATGACTTGAATATGGCAACATAACTCATTTTAATAAAAAAATTATAACTTATAAACTATAAATTTTAGATTGATTGATTAAAAAAAGAAGAGTATACCAACAAGCAAAATAATATAAGAAGAAAAATTAAATTGGTTTTTTTGGATTAAAATCGAGTTTGCTAGTCAACCAAACTCAACTTATCAATTAAATGAGTCTAAATTTCTGACCCAAACCTGGCCCACATATTAAATGTGCCAACTTGAACATTTATTTTTTCATATTGAGTCAAGTTGATCAGACTATTTATTAACAAACCGAATATACAAGAACTTTCAATACAAATATGCGACACATGAACTACTTTAATATGCTTGATGAATAGGTCTATAGAGTTGGCCTGATAAATAGGGTCGAGCTTAAGTCTGACCCAAAATTAAGTTGACCTAATTCCAATCAAGCTAAAAACTTGTCCCGTTTAATAAATAGATAAAAAAGTGAATCTAAATTCATTCCACTGGCAACTTAAATGATCTGAATCACACTTGAAAGTCTATTTTGATAAAAAAATCATAACTTAATTTTCAACAGTATAATTTATTCTAATTGATAAAAAAAATAAAAAATTCATACTAAAGTAGAAAAATTAAAAAAAAAACTATTAAATGAATCATTTTCGGATCAAATCTTATTCAATAATCAACTTCATTTATTCAGCTGATTTGTCTATTACTGAACTGAGTCTTTTTTTTTTAAACCCACAGAGGGGCCTATGCGTTAATATTAAAAAATGGTTACAAGGTCTTTAAAAAGAACCTCCATCTTGCTACAAGAAAAATCAAAATAAACCCTAAGAGCCGGTGGATCCTTTTTCTAAGATTACAAAAAGAACATAAATAAAAGCACGGGCTGCAAGTAGATAGCACCCAAAAAAGGAAGACCAGATCAATACCTTTCAACACAATCTTCCTGCAAAAAAATAATAAAAAATTGATGGCCTCTGAGAACTACAAATAGAGAAAACCTTGCAATCCTTGAAGCTCCATAGCATTGACGTGAAAGTTTTCCTGCAAGGATCACTCCAAAAAGAAATGTTATAGTAGTATAAAATACAAAATTTTGACCAAAGAATACTGAAACTATTGCATGTCACCGTAAACCGAAAAAAACCCCTTCAGGTTACTCCAAGCATACTTAATAAAGGAATTGCCCCAAACAAAGTAGTTGATCTCCTGATAGAAGTTCTCCCTCATGACCCCATTAAATCTTTTTGTTAACCCACAAATACTCAAGTCATATATAAACTTAATGGAAACCAACCCAAACATAAATACAACACTACAGATATAAGAAAGGCAACCGAAAGCGGGCCACAATAAGCCGCCAAACAAACTCACCCTCGTAACTAACCACACCAGCAAATGAAAAGAAATGGTAGTACAACCCAGAACACAATGGCAAAAACAAAGCAGATTTCAGGACAAGCTAACATGAAACAAATTGACCCCAATATGATAGGCATTCATTCTCTTAGTAAACCCAGAATTACTGACACCATAGAATGGTAGCCACCCAGATTAAATCAGTAGCACCGAAATGGGTGATATCCATAAAAAACAACTCCAAAGGAAACAAAATATTAGGTATACAAAACTGTAGCGTATAAGAAAGCCACCCCAACACAGGCCACAGAAACCTTCAAATCAACATGACTCTTGTAACATACCACAACATCAAATGAAAAATACTAGTAGCTCCGCCCAGCACACAATAGCAAAACAGAGCAGTTTACAGGAGAAGCTGAAAAACAAAAAAGCACAACCATAGTAGTTAATCATGACGAATATAAGGAAGCTCATTCTTATCAAGAGTAATCATGCCTCTAATAAGAGGAGGAAGATTATTGAGCGGCATTTCCTGGAAAGTATCACTTTCGGAATCATATTTAGCCAACCAGTCCGCACACGCTTTTCCTTCACGATAAATATGGGAAATATATATTATAAGTGATCATAGAAAGAGCCATTTTAATTTTCCTGATAATATAAAAATCTCGCGGCACGAATCGCATCCAGTTTACCAAAAAAAACTTGAAAGTTTCAGTTTACGGAAAAAGGCACGAATCACATCCAGATTCGGATGACGAATACCAAACTTACCAATTAGCGTAAAACGAAAGGAGGAAGCAAGTTTTAACACTTCATCATCATATAACAAAACAACCAGCACACCGTTAAAGACAGTCTGAGTAAGAGAAGGTAGGGTATCACCTGCTGATCCAGCAAGAACATCCTTAAAGGATCACAATTTAGAAGGAGAAAGACCATCGGAGTCTAAGTTGAAAAAACCTTTGTTCGGATCTTGATTATGGGAGGCGACCTTTCCCCAAGGCGTAAATGAGGAAGTCACCGCCATCGCAAAGAGGCCCTAAGAGGGCCGAAAGTAACGCGAACACCAATAGAAGTAAGAGAGCAAACTAACACAAAAAATTCCCCCAGAGAAAGCACGAGGAGATAGGGAGCAGGCAAAACCCTAGAATCGCCTGAGCGGCGCTAGGGCGAGAGCTTCTGAGTGCGATGAAAAAACTGAGCTTACTGAACTGAGTCTTAAGTTCAAATAGTAGACAAAAAATAACATTCTATCTTTTAATAATTTGCCAAGAATTCGCTATTCTATTTTTGTCTTTATATCTGCGAAACTCTACAATATTGACGTTAATTATTATTTTTTTATATATTAGGCCAGTCTATAAGCTGGGCTTGAATCCATCAAAACAAAGAAAATTTTTACGTGCAGTTATTCAGACTCTAATCATATGAAGACATGATTTTTTTTCTCTCTTATACATAAGATGTCTATAAGCTTGGTTTTTTGAATGCCGAACGCAAAATGTCGAATGCCATCCAGAGACCAATCGGAATGCGCCACGTCACCCCTGCTCGGTACCGCTCTCGATACTTCTGACGTGAAGCATTCTGATTGGTCTCCAGACGATGAACTACATTCGGCGTCCGCATAGAATAATTTTTTCGTACTAATCAAGCTCATGAGATCTTTTCCAACAACGTACATCTTTATTCATAACAGTTACAATCGATCGATCTCTCTTATTCAATAACACCAAAAGCAGCTTGCATGCTACACAACCTGCAGCCATGCACTAGAAATATAAAAAGATGAGGTAAGAGACGAAGAACAATAACGCTTAACACAAAGATCGATCAGCAATAAGCTCTGATATCATAAAATTACTGTGCAATGATTCTAATCTTCATATTCCTAACTTTACAGTGATCGGCGATGCCGCATATGAAGTAGTGAGTGCCTCTTACGAGCTTGATATGGTCATCACCACTGTCGAAAGTTAAACCATTATCCGTTTTGCAGTTGGCATAGCCATTTGCGTCCACCTTCACCACAGTGTGATTCCCCTTTTGGTACTTGAATTCTGACATATGCAGATTTGTTTAAGAAATATTTAATTTGTTCTGTAGATGTTAGAAAATATTGATCGAATTAATACGGATAAGAGAGTTGGCTGACCGAGGATGTTGCCGGAGTGGAAGGTCTTGCCGTTGGGCCAGTTGTTGACGTCGAAATCCCAACCTTGGCCGTCACCGACAATGAATGGCTCCGACTTGACGAGCTTGCCGTTAAGAAGCAGAAGAGCGAGCATCACAAGGCCAATGGCCAGACTTGCTTGCGTTGCACTGCCTTTTCCCTTAGCCATGGCCACTTAAAGCTACAGAAGAGAGGAAGAATGAGATCTAGAGAGAGAGAGAGAGAGAGAGAGAGAGAGAGAGAGAGAGAGAGAGAGAGAGAGATTTTGAGAGGAGAAGCTTCAAGTTGAAGGAGAAGACATGAAGGATTGGTTTTATAGGCTTAATTTAGTTTTTTTTTTTTTTTACTAAATGCGTTTGACTAATTAAATATCGGAAAGATAAGGGTATGTACTGTTTCCTGAATGTGTATTAAATATTAATTTTTGTTTTGATAAAGGTATTTTAAAAATATGTTAAAAAGTTCTCGTGTTATTTTCAAATTTTATAAAATAAGCTACCTTATTTCCAACAAATCGTTTCATTGTGACAATTTCAATGAGCCCCAAATAATATACTAAATGCGTTTGACTAATTAAATATCGGAAAGATAAGGGTATGTACTGTTTCCTGAATGTGTATTAAATGTTAATTTTTGTTTTGATAAAGGCATTTTAAAAATAAGTTAAAAAGTTCTCATGTGTTATTTTCAAAATTTATAAAATAAGCTACCTTATTTCCAACAAATCGTTTCATTGTGACAATTTCAATGAGCCCCAAATAATACGAGTTAATGTGGAAAATGTCCATAATCTATTCAAATCCCTTGATTCAATTCAATTTAGTCAATTGAAGAGTTTAAGACCTATTGGGATAAAAATAATTTATGTAGAATTATTCAAATGATTGAAAAGAAAAAAAAAATTCAAGTGATCAACATAACTAAAATTAGACCATTTCCATCTATTTAACCTGGGTCAGCTCCGGGTTCGATCCAAACCCAACCCGAAACCCGATTTTGACACCTCTAACTACTAACATCTACCAATGGTAGAGGATACGCAGTGAAGTGCAAATGTCTATAAAGTTGCAAGAGACCCACCCTACACAAGCTTGGCACAAACTGATAAACGTTAAGTGATGTGCAACCAATATTATTAATTAATTATTCGAAAAACGGGCCACCCACGGGTTATTTGAAGGAATAATCATGACAAATACTTTAATACATTATTATTGTTATGTTTTAATTATTTAAATTTATGATGGCGTAACTAAACTAATTCTTCAACGGAACCTACGGAGTCAAATCATTAGCGTCAAAAGAGACGAGATGCTTGAGAGGGGATTCGAAGGGTTGCCAACCATGCTCCCCCATCGAATTTGTTTTTCGCATTGTCACAAATCATACATCTAGCAATATAAACTATAGATGAAACAAAAATAATAGTCCTTTGAAAACTCAAATTACAAATAAGAAAATTATATTAATTTCACAATGGTTTAAGAGCTAATAACTCTAAAAAACAACTACATATTAAATTCATCTTTAACTTTTGTTATAATTATTCATTCTCTTTGGTGGTATCGACCGGCCTTTTTAGTTGGATTATACATTATTTGTAACGTAAAATGGGGGAGAACTGGCTAGCTTATTTCTCAGTTTGGTGGAGATAAACGGAGAGTTTTAGTATTTTATGAATATTATATTTTTGGGTAAATTTTATAATTGGTCTTAGTTCGATAATTTGTCTTATTTGTATCGCAACCTACAATTCTCTCAACCTTCAAATAAGAGGAGGCAAAATGTGACTGGCATGGCCAATTCGGCAATTGATTCCTGCCTAAGTTGTTCCATTATTAGCCATCTCGTTTGATTTATTGAGGGCTATCAAAATTTTCATCTAAAAAATAGATTTTGTATATGATTTTCTTTTGCATTTGGTTATTTTTCGTAGTAAAGAAATGTAACAATCAAAAGGTATGAAAAATGTTTTAAAATGAAAATCTGAAATTTATGTATGAAGTGGAGCACATCAGCGGGCGCTATGACAGATAACAATGCAACTCTATGCATGAGAGCAAAGTGATGCCAGAAAATGCATGCCGGTATAGTGCTTGTCTCTATTCCACAATAACTCTGAAATTTACACACAGTCCTGCGACGCTAGGCCACTAAAAATATATTTTTTAATATTTTATCCCTTAAATATCTCTCCATCACATCTCCCTCATTGATTCAATTGGCTTGCATGAGAAGAAAGGAAGAGAGAAGGATGGAGAAATTTCATTTTTGGTCATTTTCATCTGTTGTTCCTTTAACAAAAAGTGTTTCAATCACGGCAAGTAACCATCCTCTTACTTCTGTTTTCGATTACTTTGATTTCTACAAATTTATCTCATCAAAATCTGCCAAAAAATGCATTATTTCAGGATTTCGTAAGTTTTCACCATATAACTTTTGATATGTTATAAATTTGATCATTTTAAATATTTTGATATGATTTTATTCTATTTTTATGGGCGTTAAATATGTGTATCAGAATTTATGGGAAAGATGAGTAGGAAAAATGCATACTAAAAAGGACTAAAAGGATTTATTGTGATTGACATGATAATACTAAAATATGATATGTGATGAAATAATTGAAGCTATTAAATGATGCTGATTGATATGATAGAATGATGTATTGACTAATATTAGATCAACGATAAGAGTATGGATGATTGTACTGATATCTCAACGATAAAAGCAAGGTTGATTGTATATTGATTTTATTTCAATTGTTGATTAATAAATATAAAGAATTGACAAGATAATAAAGATTTAAAAAAGAAAAGAAAAGAAAAGAAATTCTTTCACTATAGATCCCGGGGTGTAATGAGGAATAAGTAAAAAGCATGGATCAAGTGAAGCATAAGTTACCAAACTACTATGCCATTTATTGACATAATAGAATCCTTATATATACACTAAGGTGTCATTTGAAAAAAACTTTTGGCAACTATTTTTTTTCTACTTTCAAGAAATTTTCATATTGAAAAGAATCTGCAGTTCTCCGAAAGGGAACTACTCACGAGAGTTAAAACAAAAAGGGAATTATCACATTATCTCATAAAAAAAAAATGATTGCAAGCCTTCACTTTAGGAAAAATGCAACTTACCAACATCAATTTTTTTGCTATAAATTCTTCGTAAGAATGAGAGGAACAACTTCTATGAAGGACTATCCTCCTGAAAAATGCTTTGGACTCATCACATTAAGGGATATGAGTTCAGAATTTGAAATTTATGTATGCGACTAAAAACAATGTCAACATCTTCTTTAGAAAGCAACAATAAAATTGTATCAAATAAAACCTAAGAAAAAACTAAGTTGAGGAAATAGAAAGAAAACAAAGAGGAAGAAATCAAACAATATCTGCAGAAATTATTTACTGCATACTATGAAGATTTGTGAACTCATCATTCAATTCTCTTCGGCAGCAATATTTTCAGTACCAACCCTCTAAATCTGGAAGAGTTTATTTTTTCTTAATTCTTTGATGAGTTTTTTTGTTTTTTTGTTTTTGCTCTTGTTTTTTGAGTGATTCATGCATGTATTTGGCCTTGAGTACTTCTCAAAGTGACAAGATTTTATGTATATATAATCGATGAACCTTTGATCTTTAAATGTTCATATATAGAGTTAAGTTATTGCAAAAAAAAAAAAAATGAGGACCTCAAATTAAGAACCTTCTTTATGAAGAGAGCCTTAAATTAAAAACATTTTTTTATATATTTTTTATCCAAATGAGTTTGAATGTAAAAAACAAATTAATATTAATAATGAGCACTTACTTTGATATGAAAAAAAAAATTAAAATAATATATATAAATATATATATATATATATATATTTTTTTTTAATTAGTAATATAAGAAACGTGATATGTAATATACTAGGTATTATATATAGGAGTATTATATTTATGGGTTTCAGATTAGATTATATGTTCAAAAGTCATAAGTTCATAGCTAAAAGACTGAACGCAGCACATCCAGCTTTGTGAATCATTTTTTCCCTTCATATGACTATATGCTTGGGTTTAGGGCTACAGAAAATTGATCAAAAAAATTATTTGAGTTTTAAAAAATCAAATTTATCATTTTTTTAAGATTTTTTTTTTTAAATTTCTAATGAATATTCTCTATAGGTTTTTTTCTTTAGCCCATCTGCCTTTTTTTCTGCCATAAAGCCTCATCAAAAATAGGTTTTGTTTGGATACGGGCTTTTTATTGGTTTTTGAAAGCTATTTTTTAGGAGAAATATTATTGTCGTACTATAACTGCTTCTAAGAAAGCGAATAAAAAAGCCGCCCCAAACGGAAACTATGTGTTGTAGATATTGCGACTCCTTGTAGGGACTGCACCGATAAAATGATACAAAAGATAGATCTTCTTCATTCAATAATCAAAAATTAAGATCATAAGATTGAGACAATGATGATCATATGACCCTTAGAATTTGTATTGCGTTTTTATTTAGGAAAACCAGCACGGAAGGCCTACGCGTTAATCATATGAATCAAATTACAGATCCTACGGGAACATTCAGGCTTGCTATGCTCAAAGAGCTAAAGATTTAAAGCAAATAAGAACCTAGAGAGCGATTGTCCTACTATCCAACAATACAAAATGCTAGATACAACTATAGACGGGCGCGAAGCCATGGCCTAAAAAGAACGATCCAGAATGATACAAGTCGGCCAATCTTCTACAAAAAAACACGCTGAAGCCAAAGTAAACTGCAAATAAAAAAAAAATAGAGATCAATAAAAAGCAAAAGGACTAGACAGACAAATACTGCAGAATTGTATAGATAAGCGGCATAATTCTTGAAGCAACAACTAGAAGATCAAATACCAGAATTAGTAGAGTAAGCCAATTTTGAGTAATTTTAATCAACTGCTAATCAATTGATATAAAGTCAAATTCTCTTACTTTTTTGCACACCCACTTTGGTTCTTTAATAGATGCATAAGGACGGCTTAATGTAACAAGCGGGGCTTCACTTCATGAGAAAAGAATTAGTTAGGCCCTATTTCAACACTGATGAAGAGGATTTATTTTAAGAGCTCTTTTATTTTATGCAGAGATCAATAGCGTTAATGATATTTTATTTATTTAAGATATGAGAACATTTTCAAT